GGGGTCATATTGGAGAACGGGATTTGGCAGAAGGGAGGAAATGTGCAGAGATGGTCAGGCTTTTCTGATGCAGCCCTGCAAGTTGCAGAGGCTGGGGAGGAGGAGGACTGGTGCAGGACCTGGCAGGTGTGTGCAAGTGAGCATCCACCTGTTGAGGGGTCTGGGAAGTCTTGGGCTGCTCCTGGTGACCAGATCTCACACCTCACTCCTTAAAATTTGTTTTCATAAACAGAGATGGAAAAAGCCAGAAAAAGCCCAGAAAAATGGATCAGAGCCTAATCCATGATGCTGAATATGATCATCTGCTCAGGGTTCTTGAGAAGAACTTGGAGATTCCTCAGGACTGTACCTATGCTGACCAGAAGGCAATAGACAATGAGGTCAGCCTGTGGGATGGAGGGAAATCATTTCACACCCCTGCCCTTGCGTCCCTGCTGCAGGTGGAGTGGAGTGCTCTAGCTCAGGGCGTCCTTTCCAGAACAGAGACTTCTGTGCGTGACCTGCTGGCTGTGCCTGACCCCTCGGGTCACTGAGTGGGTCTGAAGGAAGGGGCAAGATAGGGGTTATGGACGATTTTCTGCTGTATTAACAGTGAAACTGGAAGTGGCTGTCCTTCCATTATTTCTTTCTGTGATGCTGTTTTTCTCAGCCTCAAGTCCAGACTCCTTCCTGTGTCACCTGCCTCACCTGAGAATTTCAGCACATGTGGTCCAGTACATTTCAAATACCATACACAGAATTTCTCATGAACAGACTTTATGTAAAAGACACTGAAACCTCTGAAAGTGGGGTGCCATTTCTTCCTTCGCACATGTTTTAACGCACATGACGCGTGCCTTTGGTAATACAGATTAGTGGCAATAAAAGCAAGCCCAGCAATCAGAAGAAATCACGGCCCTTCTGGGTGAGCCTTTCTCACCTAATTTTTTTTTAATTAAAAAAAATTTTTTTTTGTATTTTCTAGGGGGGTAGGTAATTAGGTTATTTATTTATTTATTTAGAGGAGGTACTGGAGGTTGAACCCAGGGCCTCGTGCCTGCTGGGCATGTGTTGCACCACGGAGCTGTGCTCTCCCCCGCTGTCTTGCCTTTTACCTGTGACCACGCTCCCACCCCTGCGTGTGCATTGTCGTGTCATTCTTTGGGCACTTATGGTCTCCTCCTGTTTAACAGCAGTGCTTTAGTCACTGTTTTCATAGATCGTTGGCATCACGTTGTGTGGGTAATAGTACCATGGAAGTGTCTTGCTTTTGGATTTAAGATTTAGGGTGTTTTTTTTTTTCCTTTTCTCTCTCATAAGCGATGTTTGTCTTGGTACATAAAAGTGGATTTCCCTCTTCGGGCATGGCTATTTTTAAGGCTCTCTGTGACCATGAAAGGTTAGCTGCTCTGCCTTCTTGGAGAAACAAACCTCTCTTCCCCCTGGGAAGCTCGGCAGGCAGAGCCAACCTCCCCAGGCAGGAGCAGCTCTCTTCACCCCTGAGCTGGGGTGAGGCAGCGCCAGTTCTGCTCAGAGTCTGGATCACTTCCTGTAGTTCCTGTCATTCTTTAAAATTTTCTTTACATGGAGAGTCAGCTTCAGTCACCACAGTTAGCCAAATTATTGTGTAGGATGCCTGTTACTTTTATTTCAACACTTTTTATTCTGATTTAAATTAAAATTAGATACAAAATTATCAAAATCCCTAAAACTCTTGCTTCTTTTAGTCTTTGCAGATGGTGTTTGAACGAGTGAAATTCACAAGAAAAGGTGCAGAATTGAAGGCTTTGGCAGGAAGGGGGATTGGATATCACCACAGCTCTCTGAACGCCAAGGAAAAACAG